CCCATTCCCGAGTGAAAGTTGGCAGATATTTTCTTGGATTTCATAGTAGGGTTGCCCAAGTCAAAGAAAGAAAATGATTCTATTTGGGTTATAGTGGACAGATTGACTAAGTCCGCACATTTCTTGCCTGTGAGGACGACTTAACGGCAGATACGTATGCGAGGATCTTCATTCGGGAGATTGTTAGATTGCATGGAGTTCCGGAGGCGATTGTATCAGATCGGGGCTTAATCTTCACATCTTATTTTTGGAGGAGTTTCCAGGATGCTTTTGACAGTCAGTTATCATTTAGCAGTGTTTTCCACCCCCAGACAGATGGACAGACCGAGGGGGTGAATCAGATCTTAGAGGACATGCTGAGAGCGTGCATTATAGATTTTCAGGGTAGCTGGGAGGATCACATCCCACTAATTGAATTTACATACAATAACATTTATCAAGCTACCATCGGGATGGCACCGTATGAAGTTTTGTGCGGGAGACCTTGCAGATCACCTATATGTTAGGCAGAGCCAGAGGATAGTCTATTGATTGGTCCAGAGTTAGTTAGACAGACCACAGAGAAGGTGGCATTGATTCGAGAGAGCATTCTTACGGCGCAGAGTCGACAGAAGAGCTATGCAGATCAGCGAAGACAACCTTTAGAATTCCAGATCGAAGACTCAGTCATGTTCAGTGTTGTAAATAGCGGCCAATAGCGGGGCTATAGCGGCGCAAATAGCGGTCGCGGCCCTTCAGCGCTACGCGTAGGGGTTTCGCGGCTGGCTTAAGCGGGAAAATTCGCTATTCATTCGAATAGCGCGTAGAAGCGGATTTTAGCGGGTTAAAAGGGGTTTTCACGGTTAAAAGCGGGTTTTACGGTTAAAAGCGGATTTTTACGGTTAAAAGCGGCTAAACCCGCTAAACCCGCTATCACACATATTATGATGCTATATTTCTTGAATTTCTTCATAGTTTTATTCATACAACAAGTTTATTAATTGTTATTTATTGATAATACAAGAAATTTATAACTAATTGAATTTTTAGATTTTTTTTATGAATTTTTTTATTATTTAGGATATTTAAATATATTTAAATTTGATCGCTATTTGACTGTGCGCTATTTGCTGCTATTTCGCCGCAATAGCCCGATATAGCCTTAGCGGTACCTCGTCGCGACGCGCCGCGATCCGCTATCAGTAACCTTGGTCATGTTGAAAGTATCACCGATGAAGGGTGTTAAGCGATTCGGTAGACGGGGGAAGCTTATCCCGAGATATGTAGGTACTTTTAGGATCATCGAGCGCATTGGAGCTGTTTCTTACAGATTAGATCTTCCAGCATCGATGTCGAGTGTTAGGATCATCGAGCGCATTGGAGCTGTTTCTTACAGATTAGATCTTCCAGCATCGATGTCGAGTGTACACGATGTCTTTCATGTTTCGATGCTTAAGAAGCATGTCGAGTGTACACGATGTCTTTCATGTTTCGATGCTTAAGAAGCATCTGCGGGATGATGAGCAGCAGAGAATGATTGACTCACCAGAGATTGAGATTCGGGATGATTTAACTACCGTAGAGGTACCGGTATGCATACTTGCCAGAGAGAATAAAAAGCTTAGAAATAAAATCATTCCATTAGTAAAAGTTCAGTGGAACCGGCAAGGAATCGAAGAGATTTCTTGGGAGCGCGAGGAGGATATTCGTCGCGACTACCCGCACCTGTTTGGACGGGTATGATGTTAATGTGCTTATATGACTTGATAGCTGTCATTATCTATTATCTATGATTGTTTAGTCACATTTATATTTATCTTTAACACTAGAATGGAGATATTTTTTTACCTAATCCTTAATCAATCGAAGTATATGGTATATACATTAGGGTTTCCTTATTTGGATTATTTCGCTCGACGTACCAATTTCGTTTAGTTAAGGATTTAGGTAAGAACGTTTACATTCTAGTTTGTTAACTTTAAATATCATTATGCTAATACTGTGTGATGTGTACAGAAGAAATTCTTAATATGAATTACACCTTCTTAATGTGTTTTCCAAGTTTTTGAGCTTTGAGATGCGACTGTGGAATTTCGAGGACGAAATCCTCTTAAGGGGGGTGAATGTAAAACCCCGATAATTTATGAATAATAAAATTAATGTGTGATAAATTATGATATGTGGATATTTAGTATGATAAATATCATTTAATGGTATATAAGTATAATACCATGTGTTTTGAGTATGAACGAGTTCATACATGAGAGATAGAAGAGTTGAAACATGCACAAATGGCCAAACTCGTGAGAAACTGGGAAATCCCAGTTCGGTCGACCGCCACGGTCGACCGCGATACCTGCAGTTTGTTTTTCTCCTGTTTTGAGTTGGTTTCGGATTTCTAAACCTATATCCGTTTTCCCCTGATATATATATGAGTTTTTCACGATTTTCTCAGTTTTCCTAAGAACCCTAACAGCCACCAAAACCCTCCAAACCCTAGTTTGATTTCTTGGAGAAGATTGAAGGCTTTCAAATGGATTTTCGGGTGATTCTTGGCTTTTGGAGTGGAGATCTTTTTCAACCTTGCTTCTAACATGTTTTCCTGCAACCAAAGGTGAGTATCATCTCTACTAATCCTCCTCCTAGTTTTCAAAACGTTTTTAAAGAGTTTTAAACATGTTTTGTAGAGCCTAAATGACTAGTTTATGAATAAAGTCAATTTCTTTTGTATTATATGTAAAGAGACTAGGTCTTTCTATGCTAAAAAGGTTGAGAATGATTTTTACAGAAGTATTTAAGACCTGAAGATGAGAAACAGGGTTCACGGTCGACCGCCACGGTCGACCGCGTGCAGGACAGAGACCTGGGTAGTCTCTGGAGCCCGTCGCGGTCGACTGCCACGGTCGACCGCCAGTCTGCTTTAGCTGTGCATGTTTATTTGGCTTGGTTTTAGTTTGTCGAGCTGATCTCTCAACCTTATGATGATAGACTATGATGTTAGTAATTGTTTAACACATGGGATGATTGTGAACTTCAGAAGAGGACACGTACACCGAGATTTGTGCACGTATGATAGATTGTGTTAGATTGACACACTTTTGACATGAGATAAATTGATAAACACATATTGAATAATGTTATTCTATACGTATCCGAAAATAGGGAGATGAAACCTATTTGCCGCAAAACGATTAAGTAAAAGTATTACAAAAGTATCGTTATTACACGTATCCAGAATAGGGAGATAACAAAACCTATTGCCGCAGAGCGATTGAGTAAGAGCATTCCAAAAGTATCGCTATAGCACAAGATGATGCACACATAGATATTTGATCAATTATAAGTTTTACTTCCATGATAGACTACCCGTGAGTAGGGTATTTACTTTGAGATTTTGGCACATCCGTTATGGACGGTAATTATATTTCGTTTTGTTTTGGTTGGCATCCTCTTATATTAGAGCAGGCTACTCGGATGTACTTCGAGATGAGATTTATTCTTTATGTTGGAGATTTGAGTATGTTTCCTTGACTCTTTATTTTTCATTCATGAAGAGCTATATGAATGATTTGATATATGTATGTACTGACGTTATTTTCTATATATATACTCCTACCCTTTTCCCTGGGGAGAGGTAGTGATGATCTCGCTAGCGCTTTGACGCTCGTTGTTTCCCCTCTTTCAGGCAGCGAGTCCGGCGTACGGAGAGTCGCAGGTTGATGGGACATCTTAGTTGTCCGTTTAGCTATTTATTATACTTTGTAGTTATTGCAGAACTCCACATGTAATTGATTATTTTTCAGACTCTAGATTGGTATTTTATTTTAGAGTTGAGAACTCTTGTGACCCTGTTTATTTGACTCATTGTATTTGAGACTCAGTTCAGACTCAGAGATATATCTATTTCATTCCAGTTGGGCTCATTATTAATATCTCTTATGCTTCTTCTGTGTATTTTCAGTGTTGTTCTATTTCTAGTTTTGTCTGTCTGTACCTTCATCTATTTATTGTTTCCACTAAAGAGATAACGATTGTGATGGTGAAACATATCGTAGCATGGTGTTTGGTGCTTGGCAGGTTTGACAATCCATGTTTCACCTGGGACTGCAGCCTTATGTGAACCCTGGGGCGTCACAGTTCTAGTTAAGATTACTGTGAAAACTCCAATTTAACAAAATCTCAATTTCTTATCACATGCAGTGTTACAACACTGTACAACTTTTCCAAATTTGCTAAATTATCATCTTACAACCATACCACTATAGCTCTCATCACCATCCAGGTCCTTTCTTATCGGTAAACGGGGTAAGAACTATGTTGCAAAAGGCTCCTTTGGAATATTTGACTAAATTTTACCAATAGGTTCAACTTGAAGACATTCCTATTATTGGTGTGATGGTCCTGGCCCAGAAAAATATCGACAACAGAAAGGCTTATAAAAATATCGGAGAAAGTCATTCATAGAAAAATCTACTTTCAATCAGTTTAAGCTCATATAACACGAGCAGACTGTCATACACATGATGATGACCACACATGTGATGAAGTCCAAAGAGTTGGCAGTAGATTAAATGACTCAAAGAAGAATTAGATGTGGGAATGAATTATATCAGATAGGTCTAAGGTTTCATAATAGACGCTATACTGCAAAGCTCTGGCAGTCCTATAGCTTTATAGATTATGATAATCCCAGATTACTGAAACCCTAATGAATAGTCCTTCCAATGGCAAAGTCTGCCTTTTGAGATCATTCTGAAAGAAAGAGAAAATGCTAGTCCCATCGTTTTTAATACACAAGCAAGTTGCTTTCCATAAAGCTGATTGCATTAACAATTTTCATATAAATCAATTGAAGCAACCAATATATAAGATATCCATATAATCATATAATTAACAAAAAGAATGGTGAAGAGGGAAGCCCACAGCAAAATTTAAAGGATGCTAAGGCTAAAGATCTCCAACATTAGCCAGAGCATAATGGATAAGCGTGTGAAAAGCAGTTCATAATAGAAAGACCACTAAGTTCACAAAACCTCACAGAAAATGAGTGTACAACTGTACATATAGGCACAAGTGACAACATCAACCCAAACTCCACATGAATCTTGTCTGATCTCAAACCACATGGAAAACCATTAAGTGATTGTGTGCTCAAAATCTAAATTGTCACCTGTAAGGTACAGAGCTGCAAGTTCTTGCCGTTCCTAGGGACTTGGTAGATTCAATGGTTCCATGCATTACCCAACCGACGGTCATCCAAAGTCTACAAAATAATATCTTCCCCCTCCCTCTTAGTCTGATGCCAGTTTGGACTATATGGTGTAGCAAACAACTAGTTCTCAACTTCAGTCCTATTTCACCTTTACAAGTGAAAAAGAAAAACCAGGCACTTCTTTCTATTTTATTTTTTTTTTTGCAAAACTTAACATGGCAAAAAAATCTCTTTGTCAGGTATAAACAGTGAAAACGAATTTGAAAAACCTTTAATGTTTAACCACAAATCACGAACTGTTAAGTCAAGCAAAAAAGCAGAGCAGAGTCAGCAAACATGGATTAGCTTCAGGGGTTTTACCAGGGCATTTACAGTGAAAGCACCAAAAACTAGTTTTAAAAATAATACAAAAAGTAAAATCCGAAAATATGAAAGAAAACTACAAGTGCCGGGGTCAATAATGTACAAGACTTGAAGTTTAAAATAATAAAAAGGGATCTTCCCCCCAAGAAACCACCTTTAAGATATGGTCGCTCAACACTAACCACCTTTATTAATACATTAAACCACCTATAAAGGGGACTTGTGGTGCAAGCAACAACCTTGACTCACTTTGCAGCCAAATTTTCACTAAAAACCCAAAAGATACCCTTAAAAACACATGTTCAATGCACGTGATTTGTATCTTAACCAGACATATACTTTAAAGTCACGTGTCTTGAACATGAATTTTTAAGGGTATTCTTAGGTTTTTAGTGAAAATTTTGGTTGGGAAGTGGGTCAAGTGATTGGTTGCACCACAAATCCCTTTAAAGGTGATTCATATATTAATGACATTCAAAGGTGGTTGATGCATAATGAGCCTATTTTAAAGGTGGTATCTAGGAAATAATTCTATTGAATGATCATAAGACGATAACAAATATGTCACTAACATCAAGTCTAAGAAAATAATTACAAGTTAAGAACTAATATAAGAATGAACTATGTAAGATTCACTCATTATATAATTTCATATCATAAAATAAGCATTTATACAAGAAAAAAATTAACATTCATTTACAATAAAAAGTGTGGCTAAAGATATATTAGGAGAACCTAAAAGTTGTATATTAAAATATTAAATAGTAAATGTAGTTGGTGGTGGAATGAAGAAGTTCAATCAGGGATTAAAGTGAAGAAAACATTATAAAAACCAGCAAGGAAAACTTTGAGAAATATAAACTAGCAAGTAAGGAAACAAAAAGAGCAGTTAGTGAGACTAATACAAAGCCTATGAAAATTTCTATAAGAATTTAGAATCCAAGGACAGAGGGGAAAAGGTATATATAATCTTGCTAAGATGGGAGAAAGGAAGAGTAGGGACTTAGGTAATTATTAGATGTATCAAGAGTGAAGATCAAAGAGTTCTAATAACCAACGAGGAAATACAAGAGAGATGGAGGAGTTATTTTCATAGTTTGTTTAATGATAACCAAATAGGTGAGGAACATAGAAAAGTTGACAATATAGTGCATGATAGAAAATATAGATATTATCAGAAAATTAAAATAAAAATGAAAAGTGAAAAAGCCGTTAGACCGGACAAAATTCCTATCGAAGTTTGGAAATGTCTTGGAGATATATGCTTAGAACGGTTGACTAAATTATTTAATAAGATTATGCAGACAAAAAAAATGCTCGATGAGTGTAGACGGTAAAAAAATACCTCCGTAAACTTGCGAGAAATTCGCCTGCAAAGAGAAGTCGCCAACACAATTCGCCAGCACGAGCCTAAGCCGCGCGGTCGTCAAACGCACTCGTATCTATTTAGTCCCAGATTCGCCTGAATGATCGGCTTGCCCACACGAGTCAAGATCGACTAAATAACGGAAATTCGTCTTTTTACAACTCGCCTGACCGAGTCTAAAATCGGATCCGCTTGCAAACCTCAAGGTCGTCAGTATAGCTAGATATCCGCTACCCCATGTGCCGGGTCGGGCTTTCCCACCTCTCTTGACCCGAAAGGAGAAGGCACAGTACTCCAGGCCCGTTGAATGGCCGCTCACAGTACGAGTGATCGGACAGGTGCCAAATCAACCTGAACATTCATTAATGTAGCTCATCTCGCCCGTCCGAGTCAAGAGCTGGATCTGCCGACATTCGACAAGCTGTCCAAACCCACTCGAGTATTGGGCACCCGCTTTCCCACTTCTCTTGACCTGAAGGGAAAAGGCACAGTACTCCAGGCCCGTCGAGTGGCCGCTCACAGTACGAGTGATCGGACAGACGCCAAATCAACCTGCGCGTTCATAAATGCAACTCAGCTCATCGGTCCAAGTCAAGAGCTGGACCCGTCGGCGCACAGTAAACTGGCCAAATCCACTCGAGTAGTGGGCAGCCGCTGTCTCACATACGAGGATGGGCCTTCCCACTTCTAGGTGACATGACGTGAAACACAACCCATCGAATGACCGTTCGTAGTACAGATGGGCGACAGGACATCTCTCAACAGTACATGGTCATATCCCATGATTCAAAGAGTGACCACGCCGTCGCTCCACCATTTAAGAACTTCTTCCAGCCACAAAGAGGGGGTTCACGGGTTCACCAGTTCAGAACTTCTTCCAGCCAAAAAGAAGAGGTTCAGCTGTTTTCAGCCGCTCAGCGATTCGCCCATAGTTGAATCAGCTAACCGAACCACTAGCTCTCGACTCTCGATCGGATCGACGGCAAGCTCTTTGCATAACCTTTGCACTGTAGCATCTCCTCTCAGTTCCGGGCCCTGATCGTCGCCGAACTCTGAGACCCGAACTCCATCAACCCGAGCTCCTACCGTGTACTGAAGCTCTCCAGCAACCTCGGTCGAACCGTCCAAGGGAAGCAGACTCGGCACGAGCACCGAGCGAAGCATCCTGTAGCTACCGAAAGTCCCCACATTAAACAAGGAGGGCATTCCCTCCACTTCTGTTGTAATTTCGATTTATTAGTTTGTAATAAGCCATTCTTATTAATACAAACGAAAGTTCCTGTTTTCGGGAGATCAAAAGTTACACCTACAATGAGTGGAGGATTAGCACATTGATACCAACGTATAAGAATAAAGGCGATATACAATGTTGTTCAAACTATTGTGGTATTAAACTCATGCGTCATGCAATGAAACTTTGGGAGAGGGTGACTAAGCAAAGACTAAGAAAGAAGATAAGTGTATCCGAAAATCAATTTGGTTTTATGCCCAGGAGGTCAACTATGAAACCTATACATATTTAGACGGTTGATAGAGAGATATAGAGAGAATATAAAGAATTTACATATGATTTTCATTTATCTACAAAAAGCCTATGATAAGTGCCTAGAGAAATAATATGGTGGGTTTTAGAAAAGAAACATGTATCTAGTATATATATATTGATCTGATTAAAGATATGTATGATGAAGTACCAACTATGGTAAGAATAAATGAAGGAGAGACTATATCGTATACATATCTTGTGTGTGTGTGTGTCGATGTGATTAAACATGTATGATGGAGAAATGGAGTAACAACTAGGGTAAAAACAAATGAAGGAGAGACTAGATTGTTTCTTATTACCATTGGTTTACATCAAGGGTCAGTCTTAAACCCATATCTTTTTGCATTAGTTATAGACCTACTTACTAGGCATATTCAAGATGAAGTCTCATAGTATATGTTATTTGTTGATGATATAGTATTAGTTAATAAGACTAGAAAGGTTATAATATCTAAAGTAGAAAGGTGGAGACAACAAGCCCTCGAAACTAAAGATTTCAGGATTAGTAGAACAAAAATAAAGTACATAGAATGCATATTTAGTAAACCTAAAAAGAGAAAAGAGCCTACGTACATATAAATGACCAAGAAATACCTAAAAGTAATCACTTTCATTATTTGGGATCAATCATTCGTCACGATGGTGAGATTGAGGATGATGTTGTCCATCGAATCAAATCCGGATGGTCAAAATGGATGAGTGCTTCGAGAACCTTATATGATCATAGATTAACTACGAGACTAAAGGGACAATTTTATAAAAGAATTTTAAGATCAACAATGCTTTATGGGTGGAAATGTTGGGCAATTAAGAGATAATATGTGCAAAAAATGAGTGTAGCTAAAATGAGAATATTACGATGGTCTTGTGGGTATACATTAAAAGATAGGATAAGAAATGAGTATACTCAAGATAGTTTGGTCATATACAACGGAGACATCTTAGTGCACTGGTTAAGAAATTTGATAATATTGTTGTTAATGGGACAAAGAGATCTAGAGATAGACGTTAAAAAAAACTTGGTTTGGAGGAAGGATATGATAATGGTTAATTTAGTGGAGGAGATGGCTCATTATAGAACAGAATGAAAGAATAGTATTCATGTCGCCGACCCCAAACATTTAGAACATAGGCTTTGTTGTTGTTATTGTATTTACGATAAAAAATGAATAAATACTAAAATGTATCTAAATACTAAAACATAGAAAATGCAACTTATAAACATGTAAGCTAAAAGGAACGAAGACACTCAATTGGAATTGGAACAAATAAAAATCAATAGAAATTACAAAATAAATAATTTCTTGATTTCATATGCATAAAATTAATACAAGTTTCTTACAGAAGCAATGAACAGAATATACAACTTTAAAACTGAAGACAAGGAAGAACCTTGTCACCATAGTTGTTCTATCTTGAGAGAATTAATGAGTATTGCGAAGGTTATGTTCATAAGCAAGAGAGATAACAACATATGATAAAGTGATAGAATAGATTCAATCTGATCATGTAGTTAGATAGATTTATCCCATTTGGCCATTAAAAATTGGACTAAAACAAGCTGAAAGATCTCTAAAGCTAGACTTAATGCCTTCAAGCCACATAGAGGATTTATTTAACAACTGTTTTAAGGAGAAGCACCCACTATGTCGCTCTGGCTAAAGTAGGTTTGTATGGTTCTTTTTTACAAGAATGCAACCATGTGAAATTGAAAGAGTAAGGACTGCTAAATAAGATATATACACAGACTAAGAGTTAGATCTAAAAATAGTCTAAAGCAGTTGAACTATTCTTCCATCAAGTTATTTAACAAGTAGATTTATATGTTTCTTACTGTGGCGGTGGCGAACTTCACGTGCTTTCAAGTATTTTTGTTCTGCTGTAACAGACTCCAATGCCTCCCTAAGCTCTGCAATTTTCAAAAATGGGGGAAAAGAATATGCACAGATGCAAAAAAAATCTGATGAAAAAAAAAAATAGAAAATTGGTCATCACAAGAGAGCACGGAAGGAAACATCCCATGATATGAGTCATGAGAAAAGAAACAAACTTTAGATTAATATAATCCTCTATACCTGAACCTCTCTAAGTGCGCAAAAAGAAATAAGGAGAGTAATGCATGCAAGAGATTATAACTGCATCAAGGCAATATGCAATCTCACCATCTTTCGCAAGGTTATGTTCATTTGGGATATGACCGCTATGTATGTAGAAAGATACAGTCTCCGGTGTTTTCTGTGAATTATGAAAACAGAACTTGTACATTCCAGCTCTTGGAGCCTTGAACTCAAACTTGTCACCAGAAGTTCCTCTCACCGTGTGCACAGTATTGCCTCCTGGAGAAGTCACCTACAAAATGATGCAGAAGGTTACACAATAACCAGCAGAAGTTCAATGTAGTTCTCTAGTGATCCAGTCTTGAGATCAACCACATGTGTGCATGCCCATCACAGCACTCATGACCCAACAGAACAGAAATAAAGACGGCATCTTAATGCTAGATTAGATAAACAAAATTCTCGTTCAGATAGAATTAAGACTTTTGTGAACAATTTTGCATATAACGAAGGCCCAAGAATAGCTCAATAGATTAAAAAAAAACTTAGAATGTAGTTACAAAAAAAGAACTTATCAATTCTGGAAGATTGGAGTTGAATTCTTGCCATTCAAATTTGATGTTAGAGCATGTAAATGGGAGATCCGCTATGTCAAGTTTGGTGTAGTTCTCTTCCACTCTCTCCCTCACTCTCTCTCCCACCCCATTTCTTCTTAGTTCGTTTCTCCTCGTTTTTGTCCCTTTTCTTACAAAAAGACATGCGCACTTCTTGCACAACGACTAAAATAAATTACGAAAATTTTAATTTAGAACTGGATTAGATAGCAATATTACCCATTTCTTTATCCGCACTACAGATAGCTTAAGTATAAACTAAATAACAACTCGTAATTCCAACGAATGCTAACAAATGACGAATTTCTAAGTTACCTAATTGACAGTACAACAATTACTCCCCCGAAACTAATGAGAATAATTTCTATAGAAATTTCACCTCCCAATGTCACAGATTTCTTCAATTGCCAATCCAATCTTGAAATTTTAGCTAAAGAAACGAACTTTACCCCCAAAAAAAGAACACAATTAATCACTAATGAGAAGCTAATTCAAAAACCTTGTTCAATAGAAAATCAGAAGATAGAAAAATGCCGCCAGATCTAACGAAGGAAGCCCTAACTACAACGAGAACACTTACAATCAGATCAATCCCAGGGTGATCCGAGCTCCAGAAGATATCATGATCCACAACAACGAAGTTCCCGGTAACCGTATCGCCTTCAAAAAGAACGAACTCGTACACGCATTCGACGTCGTTGACTGTGATCGAGAGAGCTGAGAGATTGCGAGGGAAGGTAGCGAGAAGCCCTAGAATGAGGAAGATCTCGAATAATCTGATCGATCGCTTGCTTCTCTCCATTATTTTGTGAATTCGACCGTGAAAGATTCGATCTTTTTTGTCTAATTCTTCGAAATAATTTAGAGTTTCGAGATGGAAAGGGATCTTCAGAATCTAATAGAGGTAAACAATCTGCATGCTAGTGCGATTCAAACTGTAGTCGGTAAAGGCTCATCAAACCTGTTGATGGCTGAAAATTTGCCAAAAATTCTATAAATGCGAGTCATTGACGCACCAGCTCTATTAGTTGGTCTCGTGACTTGAGCATCCAACAACTTCAGGATAAGATCCATACGTGCAGATGAATCAGCGTTCATGGTTGGTCCTGCAGCTTCGACATTTGGGATCGCCGTGTTCCAATACCTTAAGAGCTTAAACTGTGTATGCTCCAGCAAACGTACGAGTATAAACTGTGTTAACGTCGGGCGATCCGAAACCCTAGGTCAACGCCGGTCAACGCGCAACCCTAGGTCAACGCCAATCAACGTGTTGTAATAAAAAGTCAACGTCAAGCGATTAGGGAGGATGATTAAGAGCGTTTTCTTTATTTATCTTATTTTAATTTTTTGATTTAATCTGAAAGTGAATTTAAAATATGTGAGTTACTTTTTTTTGCAAATGACTTTTACATCCATGTCAGCACGTAAGTGAAATACAGTGTTTGTTTAAAAAATTAAATTATTATCGAAAGTGCAATGTGAAGATGACGTGGCAAAATAAGATTAATTAGAGAGTATAATTAAAATTATTTAATTAAATTAGTTACTTTTTTGTCACTTTCATGTAACTTCACCACTTTTTTAGGGAAAGTCAAAATTGTATTAAATCATATGTGGTAACTTTCATGCATCTCACTTTCATAACCACTTACATGAAAACAAACACCTTAATTGTTAAACGAAAGTAACTTTCTCACTTTCCTCTTTCACTTGCATGCAAACAAACACCCCCTTAGTGAAGCAGGTCGTGAATCAGGCTAAGCTTGAAAATTAGGGGGACAAATATTCGAGTGACTGCGATTTTACCATGCAATTTGGCACACTCTAATTGGGCCCAATAGCGTAGCCAACTAATCGGTATTCACAAGGGTTGTTTGTTTCAAATCCTATAATTTTAGGATATAGATTTTACCATGAGATTTGAAATCTATAGATTTTTTAACATGGGTTAGGATTTCTAAAATGTTGTTTGTTTTATTAATATTTTGGGATTTGTAATCCTATAATTTGTATTTTATTTGTTTTAAATTCAAATTGTAGCATTACGAAATTTAGAATTTGAAATCTAACATAAATCTTCTCTCAAAGAGGGAATTTCGCAAATGCTATAATATATTAATTTTTTTTATTTGGGTATTCAATATCTCAATATTTATTTTGAATCAAACAAAGGTTATGGAATCCATAAACTCAAAAAAAAACTCACTTTTTCATCCTAGAATTTGTAATTCATCCTATATTCCAAAAAAGGTTGAAACAAACACCCCCCAATTAAATGTGATAATGTTTCATGATGAGTCATGGTCATAGTTACGGTAAAGTACGTGGAAAGTGTTCAAATTTGAAAGTAATGTTATTTCCTGAGTGTGTGACCAACAAAAAAGGGATCAAGTTTGAACTTGCTCTTGTCTTTGGATGAGAGGTGGCTGGAAAATACTGAGCCAACTCTAACTTTTTTTTTTCTAGGCCAAAAAAGACCCCTCAAATTGGCTCTCTTTTGATACAGCTCCACATGTATCAAAAAAGAATCAAATCTGCTAAAAAGTGGGCCAAGATTACTCCTAACTCACTACTGAAAAGATTGCCAAACTGACCCTGAGTTTTGTGTTTTAACTTTGAAAATTGATTGAGAATGAGGGGAAAGCAAAATGAGAAAGAAAGTTCTACTCTTTTGTTACTTTTATTGTTTAGAAAAAAAAAGGGGGGGAAACAAATGTAAAGTCAATATTTGAAAATAAGACATAAGTAGGGTTAAGTGCTCTCGTGATATTTTCTTCAGTCTAGCTTTTTGAGTTGAAAATAAAAATGTAATCTTGTGTCTAAATAAGCTATCAAGTATCTAAGCGTCAAGTCAGTGGTCTTCTATTGAGATCGATGAGAGCAGAGATTGAATTTCATTTTATTTGCCATCCTTAATTATTTCTCTAGTTTGGATTGCCGGCCACCCTCGTTCTCCTGTAGGATCCTCGATCTCATCGTCTTGTAACCCAAGATTTCTTGCGCCAAGAAACAAACTTGTACAAATTGAATTTGTTATTTTCGTACGGGACGAAGTGAAGGCGTAGCATCACTCTAATTTCAATGCTTTTATTTTAAATTATGTTGGGTAGTAAATGGAGTTGCTTTGGAGCCGTGTGTTATCAAACTCTTCTTCACATTATAATATATTATAGTTTTGCACATCGCCCTCATTCATCTTGAAGCATTGTCACAATTTTAAAGTCCGGGATGATTCCTAGAAGCGTGTATTTTTTACAAGTTCAATGCGTGGGAATGATTCCGAGTGCAAACCTTAAAAATGATTACGTACATTCAGAAATTATTTGCAAATAAAACTTTAATTTATTTACCTGCGTGTAATTACGATCAAACTATCGAAGATACCCCCCCCCCCCCAGCTTTTATTCCGTAAAAGCCATGCCAAACTATAAAAACGTAATTGAACAATCAAAATATTCTATATATACTATTATATAGATTAAGTAGATTACTATTAGAATATATATATATAATATATATTAATATATATATATATATATTATATAATAATAATTAGCATATATAGAGCTAAAATTGGTCAACTAACGGGACGTCCACTAAGTGTCTACCCATTGATAATCACATATTAGCGCTTGTGGATGATCCCTCCCGTTGAACTAATCACATATTCTAAAACCCAACACACCAAATTTGTTGAATCTCTGTCATTGTTGACCCTCGTCAGCCATGAAAAATTCTATTCATTTGAACCCATTAAAATTATACCGAGTTAGAAGGTCACATCCCTCTCCACTCAATAACCCATGTGAATGTGGTCCAATATTTGAATGATGAGCCGTGAACTGTGACACATCACACTACCAAGCATAACTTTTTGTGCCTGTACCAAGTCATCACCCATATGCTCTTATATATATATATAATATAATATATAGAAATATAATATATACGATAGTTATCATATATTATAAGTACTGCCATAGTATCTACTACAGTCTCTTGTTCCCCGTGTTATAATACGAACTACTGTAATTCATGGACATCTAGATTTGAATTAAAAAACAAGCTATTTGAGCAGCGCATATTCGATTATCTAGATTTGTATTCTCCCTAACAAACAGTGGAGATGTCACTATGCCCCATAAAAATAATTGGTTCTTTAATAACATTTGTGAACAACTGCGATTCTTTTTAATTTCGTAATCTTTTCAAAACTAGGTCAAGATTGATCACCGTCCAGATAGAAAACGAACTGATTTTTTTTTTGTTTTATTCACATAAGAACTGCATCAAAAAGAACTAATTTATGTTGCCTTGGCGAAAGCCCAATAGGTCACAAAGTGCGCAAAAAGGTGATTTTTCCTCAAAAATATAAATAAAAAAAAGTTGTTTTCAACTATTAAATTTCATCTCAAAATGGGGCGAGTCCAAACTAGGGATGGAAATGAACTAAATAATTAACAAATAATTCGATGATTCTTCGATAACTATTCGGTCATATTCGATTCGGTAGTTCATTTACCACTAAACGAATATTTTTTAGCATTCGAGTTTGCTAATGAATAGAATTAACCAGATGTATATTCGATTCGTTTGTCTATTAAATATTCGTTTAAAATTTAATCACAACTTATTATTTGTATTATTGCACATATGATGTCATATTTTTAATCCACTTACCATTTCTACTTAAGTTTTATATACTGATTTTAAGACTTAATAATCTTAAATCTATTTTCTAATTAAAATTTTGATTTAAATATATATACATCACATATTTTAAAGAAATAATTTTTATTTATGAATTTTAATACTATATGAAAATCAAATTCTTTAGCGGAATAAATATACTTTGATATTCGATAAGTATTCATGAATATTTATCAAATACCAAGTATCCGAGTTCGAATTCAAAAAACTAGATATACGAATATTAAAGTCCGTATTCGGATTCGATAATTTTAAACAAATACAAATATGAACATCTTAGTATTCGATTCGATTCGATCATTTACAACCCCTAGTCCAAAGTTGGTCCCGTTTTAGTGGGGCGCCGGACGCACTGACACTTGCCATATGCTCACCGGTTTGCACTATTTTACAGACAAATCACGACAATCCTGTCTTTTCCTGTGCTCTTTCGGACAAATTGATTTTGTTTCAATTCATTGTCTCCATCATAAAGCGGTCATTATCATTACCATATCTCATCAGTTTTTTTTTTTTTCTTTCGAATCGATCGATCCTCGCCTATAAATTTAGACCCCGCGAGCGATTGTTTCCATACAAAAACTACAATATTTGAGATACGAAAAACTACAATATTTGAGCCTTTGCTTCAAAAAGAGAAGGTTTCATTTGAAGAGAAATGGGAGAGCAGGTGAAGACCCAAATCCCCCGAATGAAATTAGGCTCCGAAGGCCTAGAGGTGATCATATTTTCAGCTTTGTTTATTTCTCAAACAAACTTTATGTTTCTCTTTCTAAACGTACAAAAAAAAATTGAGTAATGACCCTCTTATATTTAGGGGCTGTTTGGTTGGTTTCCTAAAAATCAAGAATAGGAAATTGGGTCATGGAAATCTCAAAAACATCAATTTTCTCCATTTCCATCTCTAAAACTCACCACGACATCCAATAAAATGTTATTGTTATCTAACAACTCATCCACTTTATCTAATAAAATATTATTTTCATCCAACAACTCATCCCATATCATCTCCTAAAAATAGAGCTGTGCTATTTGTCTCGCGCGTGATGCATCACGCACGAGACAAACAAAGTTTTTGTAAAAATAAACCAAACACAAGAAATATGTCACATCATCCAACTCATCTCATCTCATATTTAAAAATCACCCACATCATCCAATAATATGGTAACAACTCATCTCATCTCATTAACATTTTATTTTTACCTATTTCCTCAAAAAAACAAGGAAATTGATTTTCTTAAGTGTGGATCACATCATCCAATAATATACAAACAACTCATCTCATCTCATCTATTTTCTTATTTTTCTTAAGTGTGGATCACATCATCCAATAATATACAAACAACTCATCTCATCTCATCTATTTTCTTATTTTTAAGAATGAACCCAACTCATCTCATCTCATCTATTTTCTTATTTTTAAGAATGAACCAAACACAAGAAAGAAACTATTATAGAAAATAGGTTTCTTATAATACATTTTCTTATTTTTTTTAACCAACCAAACAGTCTCAAAACAAGTTTTCTTAAAAATCACTCACATCATCCAATAATATAGTGACAACTCATCTCATCTCATCTATCATTCTTTGATTTCCTTCTTTTTTTTAGCCAACCAAACAACCATAATACGATATTTCATATTCTTTGATTTTCTATTTTTTGATTTCCCAATTTTTTTAGTCAAACAAACAGCCCCTTAATTAAAAAGATTTTGGCAAAGCAATCGTAAAAATCGAGGAATAAGAAAGTTTGAAGCTTCTTACATGACTTAAGTCTAGTGCAAAGATGGTTCGTAAGCATCACAACTTGCATCACATGGGATTACAAAAGTACATGAACGAAAATGGACCGGGTTAATCTACTTGGATCCAAATTGACTCAAAAAAGATTAATTGAGCAACTAGGCCAAGCACATTTAACGATATGCCCGACACTAGATCTCATCTCATATATTTGCTAGACCTAGTAAAATGAAAGTATCCTCTTTACGCATGCAACTAATGAACTTATCTTTCGTTTCTTTTTGTAGGTGTCCAAATTGGGATTTGGATGCGCCGGTCTAAGTATCAACTATTGCAACAATCTCGTCGACGAGGAGGCCGGAATAGCCATAATCAAGGATGCATTCAGTAAGGGAGTAACTTTTTTCGACACTTCGGATGTTTATGGAAGGAATAATTCTAATGAGTTCTTGGTTGGCAAGGTTCTATTCCTATCTGATCTCCTCCGCCCTTTTTTATTTTTAGAATTGGTGATCCAAACGCAGTAATTTACTGCCATTCGCATTATATATAGGCCTTGAAACAATTGCCAAGGGAAAAGGTACAACTAGCAACGAAATTTGGCGTTCAAGGAGTCGGACCTGATGGAATGATTGTAAACGGCAAGCCAGAGTACGTTCGCGCATGCTGCGAGGCGAGTCTAGAGCGTCTCGGAGTAGACCGCATCGATCTTTACTATGCACATAGGATTGATAAGAGTGTACCTATCGAAGAAACCGTAAGCATTAAGTTTCGGATTATGTTTTCCTAACACTAGATTCGAGTAAAAATTTTGAGTCGTAATTGGATGATTTTTCCAGAACTCCAACTTGTGTATCAATAATTATTATAGGTTGGAGAAATGAAGAAATTGGTGGAAGAGGGAAAAGTGAAGTATATCGGGCTATCAGAAGCAAGTCCGGATACAATCAGGCGAGCGCACGCAGTGCATCCCCTAACCGCAGTGCAAATGGAGTGGTCGCTCTGGAGTCGCGATATTGAAGAAGAAATAGTCCCGCTTTGCAGGTTCAGTCCACACGTTATATTCCGAAAATCTAAAGATTGGATATGATTTTAAACTTACATAATTTTGATTTTGACTTCAGAGAACTAGGTGTTGGAATAGTCCCATATAGCCCTCTTGGCCGTGGATTTTTTGGCGGTCGAGGACCCGTGGATGTTGTGCCTGCAGATTCAATGACGGTATTATTTATTGTTTAGAGAGTTACATTTTCGAAAGGAAAAGAAAGAAAGAAAAATTTTACAATATTTGCACCTGACGATTTGGATATATTTTTGTCGCAGGCTACTCATCCGAGGTTCAATGGAGAGAACTTAGAAAAGAACAAATCTTTGTACATGCGAGTGGTTAAATTAGCTGAAAAGCATAATTGCACCGCTCCTCAGCTTGCTCTTGCTTGGATTCTTCATCAAGGGGACGATGTGGTCCCAATTCCAGGTCACAAACTTTCAGAAAATCTACAAGTACTTCCAGCTTTTTAAGCAAAAGTTGAGTGATCAGTACTCTATTTCTGCTGATTATTTTGTTCAGGTACGAGTAAGATCAAGAATCTAGACACCAATATTGACTCCATCAAAGCGAAGTTCACTGGAGAGGACCTGAAAGAAATCACTGAAATTGTTGCTATAGAAGATGTTGCAGGTGAAAGATCTTACGGATTTAGCCAGCAACACGACTGGAAATTTGCAAACACGCCGTTGCCCGATAACGTTGCCGCAGCCTGAGATTATTGTCCTCATAATTCAACGGAAGTAAAAGTCCCATGCGGATTTATATAGGTAGTTGTAGATGCCAAGATTATTTGCCTCTACATGTTGTGTTTAATGATGTTAATATTGGTATCAATGATCAATGATGTGACCTCCCGAATTATGCTAGTAAACTTTATTAATGAAAGAGGCTCCCAAATCATCAATAATCAATCCCAATCCAAGTCGGGTTGTAACTTAATCCCCCAATCCTAATTCAACATCGAATCCGACACGAGCCCAACTTTGAGTCTGAATCCCGAACTCCAATAAGGACTCAGATCGACTTGGCCTCTTTTAAAGACGGCCCTTCAAGAGTCCCGACTCATAACAAACTCTCAACAAACTAACAAAAAACCAACAGCCTAACGTATCTATGACGGTACAAGACGCCGGCCTTAGTCACCCCTGCAAACATTGCCAGAGGAAGTTCAAAACTCTGCAGGCCCTCGGCACTCACCAGAAGGCGCATAAGGTCAGGCACGCCATCCTGAAAAAGAAGCAACTTTTGAACAGAGCTCAGCACCGTCGGAAGAGGCAGATCGGTATGTGCACGTCGTGTATGTCAACGTCGACTTTTGGTGCCAAGGTAACTTCAGCAATTGAGCAGGCGTATCTTATGAGGCTTCAGCAGCTGGCTCAGCTGCGACGCAAGCGGCGGCATTCCGATGAACCCAATGATGTTATTGCGAATTTCAACCGTCAAGAACCGGAGATAGTGTCAGATGGCTCGTCATCGGAGATGAATAAACGTCGTCTCCTTCCATTGTTTTGTTGAATTGTTTTCCTTTTTTTTTTGACCAAGCGGATAACGTTTTGTTGAATCGTTTTATTTTTTTCCGACGGAGTATTTATCTACGCGCCGGTGGTTTTGATTTTTATCTAACGCACACCGATTGTATTACTTCTCCATCCTTCAACGAAGGGTAAATTTGCTGCTTTCCGTCTCTAATATTTGGATGAATTGCATGCAAACCTCCCATGGATAATAAATAGGATTAATTACTGATTGTATTTACACGCATGTAACCTTAGGTCATCCTCATAGTTACATCAAACTCCTAATACGTATAACAAAAAATAACAAGAATTCCTCATCAATTACATATTTAGCAAGGTTCTTACATCAGTTTCTAAGTACAAAACCACGCTTCGGTGCACATAACATGTTCAACATTAGTAAAACCCTAAAAGACCGCACACATCCTGTCCGCTACAAGACAAAATCGAAAAACATATATTTCAGTCAATCCTTTTCTTTTTATTTACAACCATAGCCCCAATTTTTTTTCTCGGCATCTTAGCGGCGTCAACTCCCGCCGTCAGCTTCGTAACTTCCTCAATTGGGAAATTGGTAACGGCCTTCGCTCCCTTCAACCTCACGGCGGCAGCGTCTTTCCGCCGCCCAACTTTGGCTCCAGTTTCGGTTACCTTCACCGCGCGCATCCTCGGATCTCAAACGATAGCGTCCTCCGTCGTCTTCACCGTCGGAGGAGTTAGTGGCGTCGGCGTCGATGAAGGAGACGCGGACGAGCTTGATCTTGGGTTTTGGAGGCATATCAGCGGCTTTCGTGCTCGGTGCCATGGTGGTGGTTAGGGTTTTTCATGAGAATTTAGGGTGAGGGTTCCCGATCAGCTAGGGTTTGGGGTTAGGGTTTTGGGGCCTAGGGTTTCCCCCATTTTTTTTTTCCGTTTTCTGTGGACAGATGAAATTTGAAAAGGGCTTGGATGGAATTGGGGGTATTTGAAGGGGTTTGATGGGCTGGGCTTGGCCCATATTCGCTTCCGCAGAAAACCGGACCTGGGTTGTTTTGTTTCATCTTTCGAGAATATTCGCTGGTTCAGTAATTTTTAGGAGAATATTCAACGGCATCTTAAGATTTAGGTAGCAAGAAGTTTCTAGATTACGAGAAAAAGAAGGACACGGCTGCGTGAGGCTTGAGAGGCTGGGAGTGGCATTTGATCAAAACGGTCTGATCAAGCTATATTGCAATTTTCAAATTGGTTTTGGATTTACACTTAAAAGATATTAAGAGAGTTTAAAGAATAGTTAAAGCTTAAGGATTGTAATTTTAATCTAACTCTAATCATGAAAGATTTTTATTAATTCTACGTCTACAATCTTTACATAATTATGTTCACAACTAAATATTTCAATATTTCTTTCATGCATCTCCATACTATGAAAATCTAGTTTTATTACTTTAAAAGCGCTCACAGAAATCCCTTTGTCTACCACTAATGTGGATCCCAAACTAGTGGACGCACAATACAGTTGTAATCCGAATTGGCCCATTTAAAAGGAGAGAACGCAACAAAACAATTTGACCCGACCTATGAACTCCGACCCGACCCATTATTAATAGTTTTGGCTCAACATGCATGGATTAAGACTTAGGGACATATTTCCCGAGCTACCATTTATTACTCAGGTGGATCCGAATTGGCCCATTTAACACATATATAATACCCATTTAAATAATCCTGTAAATGGGCATCAGAAATCCATTTCACCATTCTACTTTTAAAGGGAACTACTATAATGCATGTGCTTTGCATGTAAATGTACATATTTTAAGTTTTAAAATTTTTATTGAATAATAAAACTACGTGTTAATAAATAAAATTGCATAATAAGGTTACTAAAAAAGAAATATATTAATTAATTATTATTGTGTATTTATTAAAATTAAATGCTTTTCTTATAATGATAGCCCAGTGTTAACCTTTTTCGAAATTAGTCCCAAAATCTAAAATTGTTCTTAAATAAAACTGTCAATTCTATACATTCTCTTAAATATGCCCCTCTAATTTAAAAGTTGTTAACTTATTTTTAAACTAACTAAGCTGTGTTAAGCTTGCTAACTCTTTCTTGATGTTCCCAAGGTAGTTACACTTGATACCTATAACATATTATAATAGTTACTTCTCATTATAATTATTTAATAGGACAAATTACATTTAAACCCTTGTGAATTTTCAGCACATATGAACTTTCAAAATTATACTAAACCCCTAATGACTTTTATGTTACAAAGAAAACTCTTAATAACTCTCTAAATTTTGCAGATAACCCCTATAAATTAAAACATGAAAATAGCATTTAAAGATATTTGAAAGTTATTGAGGGTTTGGTGGAATTTATCGAAAAGTTGTTGAGGGCTTTCTACAAAAGTTGTTAGGGGTTTAGTGTGATTTTAAAAGTTCATAGAATCTATTAACTGCAAAATGCTGAAAGTTTATGGGGGTTTACTATGATTTACTTTATTTAATATTATAATTCCCAGATTAAGCAATACTATTAAAATAATTATAATGTATATATTCTATAAAATATTTATCTAATTTAAATTTTTAATTATAATTTAGTACTATAAATATTTTATAAATTTTTTATTATATTATCATTAAAAATTAATAATGCTATTATTTATAGTAAATTATTTATTAAAATTTCAATCATTATCAAGTATAGATTATTGTAGGCGTCTAAAAATGCCTATAGGTATTCGCACACAGCTCAAGACTGAGAGAAGACGACGAACGTCATTCATCCCGAGTCTAAGAGGATTGACCGCATCGGCGACAACGCCCTGAAGCGAAACGCGAATCAAGTAGGCCTGCGCGCTCAACATCAGCGCTGCTCTGGCGCGCACCAATCAGACTCCGTGCGTAATCAAACACCCGCTGGGTCAATCAGTTCGGTGCGCGTCGGTCAACACGAGTGGCATCAATCACACGGCCGATATAAGCACGTTCGCAATCAATCCACAACGGAAGTGTGCAAGTAAACGAAAACGGGGCAAACACCAAAAACGGTGGAAAATACATAGTCCGGAAAAGACAGAAAACTACGCAGAGCTCCAGGCAAAGTATTGAAACATCACAATCAATCCCACAACGAAGTGTGCAAGTTAACAAAACGGGCAAACACGCAAAACGGTGGAAAATACAAGTCCCGGAAAGACCAGAAAACACCAGAGCTCAGCAAAGATTCGAAACACCGCGTCCGTGCAGGTCGGACCGCATCGACCCGCGCCCGCGCGGGTCGGCCAAGTCCGACCCGCGGCGGCGCGGGTCGGACAAAGCCGACCCGCGGCGGCGCGGGTCGGACAAAGCCGACCCGCGCCCACGCGGGTCGGCCAAGTCCGACCCGCGGCGGCGCGGGTCGGCCAAGTCCGACCCGCGGCGGCGCGGGTCGGCCAAGTCCGACCCGCGGCGGCGCGGGTCGGCCAAGTCCGACCCGCGGCGGCGCGGGTCGGCCAAGTCCGACCCGCGGCGGCGCGGGTCGGCCAAGTCCGACCCGCGGCGGCGCGGGTCGGCCAAGTCCGACCCGCGGCGGCGCGGGTCGGCCAAGTCCGACCCGCGGCGGCGCGGGTCGGCCAAGTCCGACCCGCGGCGGCGCGGGTCGGCCAAGTCCGACCCGCGGCGGCGCGGGTCGGCCAAGTCCGACCCGCGGCGGCGCGGGTCGGCCAAGTCCGACCCGCGGCGGCGCGGGTCGGCCAAGTCCGACCCGCGGCGGCGCGGGTCGGCCAAGTCCGACCCGCGGCGGCGCGGGTCGGCCAAGTCCGACCCGCGGCGGCGCGGGTCGGCCAAGTCCGACCCGCGGCGGCGCGGGTCGGCCAAGTCCGACCCGCGGCGGCGCGGGTCGGCCAAGTCCGACCCGCGGCGGCGCGGGTCGGCCAAGTCCGACCCGCGGCGGCGCGGGTCGGCCAAGTCCGACCCGCGGCGGCGCGGGTCGGCCAAGTCCGACCCGCGGCGGCGCGGGTCGGCCAAGTCCGACCCGCGGCGGCGCGGGTCGGCCAAGTCCGACCCGCGGCGGCGCGGGTCGGCCAAGTCCGACCCGCGGCGGCGCGGGTCGGCCAAGTCCGACCCGCGGCGGCGCGGGTCGGCCAAGTCCGACCCGCGGCGGCGCGGGTCGGCCAAGTCCGACCCGCGGCGGCGCGGGTCGGCCAAGTCCGACCCGCGGCGGCGCGGGTCGGCCAAGTCCGACCCGCGGCGGCGCGGGTCGGCCAAGTCCGACCCGCGGCGGCGCGGGTCGGCCAAGTCCGACCCGCGGCGGCGCGGGTCGGCCAAGTCCGACCCGCGGCGGCGCGGGTCGGCCAAGTCCGACCCGCGGCGGCGCGGGTCGGCCAAGTCCGACCCGCGGCGGCGCGGGTCGGCCAAGTCCGACCCGCGGCGGCGCGGGTCGGCCAAGTCCGACCCGCGGCGGCGCGGGTCGGCCAAGTCCGACCCGCGGCGGCGCGGGTCGGCCAAGTCCGACCCGCGGCGGCGCGGGTCGGCCAAGTCCGACCCGCGGCGGCGCGGGTCGGCCAAGTCCGACCCGCGGCGGCGCGGGTCGGCCAGCTTCAAATCAAATACTTCCTCGGCGAAGGCGAAGCTCTGCCGAATTTTCCATCAACCGGATCCAGATCTAAGGCGGTCCACGGATAAACCCCGGCACAGGCAAAGATCCCACGCAAGCAGAAGATCGATAAACGATCTCTGCGTTTGTTTGACGAGAATTGTATTTTTTCATTTTCATTATGTAAAAGTCTTATAAAAAGACTATCTTTTTGTTTTCATTGTAACGACCGAAGTTGTAATGAATACCGCAATGAATACATTAATTTTCGACGCAAACAATTATTTAGTATCATGTAATAATATTGAGAAAATAATATTAAATTATTTATTTAATAATAAATACTAAATATATAGTATAATTCATAATTTATGTATTATTACAATAATTACACTATTTATGCGATTCAAAATTTATTTAATTTATTTAATTTATTTAATTGCTCATTGAATTATAGTATAATTAATAGTATTTAGCAATATATTATTCTACTTGTACTAGTATTGTAATTATTTTATGATAATTCATAAATAATTATTGTAATGATTTAATTGTTTACTACTAATAATTATGTATACTTATTTTATAAATTTTATTTTGTTTTATTATTTTTAAATAATTAATAGTTATTATATTACTAATAATTATAATTATTTAGGATGGTGAGGAGATGCATAATTAATAAGATGTTATATTTATTTAATAAAAAAGTAATTAGAGATAGTGGCATAGTCAGAATTTATCAAATTTTGAAAGGGAAAAGAATGTTTTTATGAAAACAAGATGCCTCTCTCTACATATAGGGTTTATTTCTTTATTAGAATCCCAATTCTTTTAAGTGAATTGAAGTTAGCCTCTCTAGTTAGAGATTGGCAATATTCTGTCTTTTTCTTATGGAATAGTAATTACAACCATATGCATTCAAATCAAAACCCCAATAAAGACTTTGTGGGAGCACAAATTAGGAAGATATTGGGCAAAGTCATCTTAAATCTACAAATTTAGAATCATATTTTGGTGGATTTTGGTTGATTTTGTGATTTGATAATTACCTGTCACACCAGTTAAAACTTACCAAATCATAATTAACAATTTAGATGGGAAATATAACAACAGCTCTAATTTCACAGCTTTAAAAGATTTTGGAAACTAATTTCAAAGTATGGAAATTTTTGGGCACTAATTTCAAACATGTAAGATTCCAGAGGAACCAATCTCAACTATGAAATGGAAAATTTAGAGGACAAAGTTTAAATAAGAAAGATTTGGAGAACTAATTTTAAAAACGATAGATTTAGGGGATTGCTATAGAAAAACATCTATACTTATAAGTTACATAAATATGTCCCTAAAAACCTTGGGTGGGGTGGCCCGCCCCCCCCCCCACCCCGCCCCCCCCCCGGGTTGGCTTTGAGGTGGTGGGTTTGGGGGTTAATTGGTTCCACCACCATCAGCGGCCCAAATTCTTGTGCCAATGGCATAAGTGGAGAGGGAAATTTCATTAACATTAATAAATTCGGCGATTATCTAAACCAGAGTTAGCCCTTCAGTGCATGTGAGGCTCATGCATGATATGTCAAAAGAATAAATAAGTAACGGAATGTATAAAAGTGTTGAATATCAGGATTTTCTCTGCGTTTTCCCAGAGTTTTGCTCCTCGATCCTGTGTTTTTTTAAAACATTATAAATCGTGAGATCATACTTATCGGGTTTTTAAAAGTAGCTCAATATAGTAGAACGGATTAAAATGGACCAACTTCTCGTAAACAACTGTAATAGATTCAAGAAAAAAGGACTTGCGTATTTTCTAAAAGTGGAAATTAAAGGGGGACAAAACAGTGTGTTTTAAGCTTTACCGCCCCATAAGCCCACCGAATCTGTATGGTTCATTTAACCTGTCATGTGCGACTTTTGTTGTAGACGGTCCAAGTTGCTACCACTGTCATCCACTATCTTATGTTCTCAAAAAAAAAAAAAAAAAAAACTTTCTAAAAGTGGAAATTAAAGGGGGACAAAACAGTGTGTTTTAAGCTTTACCGCCCCATAAGCCCACCGAATCTGTATGGTTCATTTAACCTGTCATGTGCGACTTTTGTTGTAGACGGTCCAAGTTGCTACCACTGTCATCCACTATCTTATGTTCTCAAAAAAAAAAAAAAAAAAATCCACAATTTTATGAACAATTGGTTATTTACCCGTGAAAATTAAATAAGTGAATACAATACACACTCTTAATAAGAACACAAATGCACGTTGAATGTTACTTAACTTTGTGGTACGTTACACTATATCATATTTACTTCATATACTTTCTATCACAAATACATCCCTGGTTTGTTTAGCAACAACATGAGAATAGAGTTTTCCAACAATACGGCATCTAGCTAGTAACTCTCTGATTTATTATTTCTGCAATATTGCTTAGAGTTCGACTACGATGTCGGTGTTCCAATTTATTAAGAGCGTAGTGAAGACCACGCGACAGGAACTAGTGTTTGACCGCTAGAAGCACAAGTTTTTGTTTATATTGTTCCTTAATTTCTGTCATTAGATCATTTCATTGGGTTTAAATTAAATCATCTTGACTGCTGAAGAAAATAGGGGAGAAAGTATACCGCGCATTCCCATAGGAATGACGTTATTTATACAATAGATCCACTCATAAATGGTATAGATTACCCTTTTCTTTGAGAGTTTTCTGATAGAATCTACGCTCGAGACTACTACATTATTAACAGTTTTTAATTTATTTAGTGAATGGTTATAATTTATTTAGTGAATGCTCACTGACTCACCGGATAGATTAGCAGCTATGTTAAGTACTTGTCGCTGCTTCTAATCTGTGTTTCCATGTACTTCTATATTTTTTGGATTGTTGGTTAAACTCTTATTTTAATGAAACACTGAATTCGCTGCCCACCGTTTCACTAAAAACAAAACAACTCCTGTGGCTTGCGTGGCTTAATTTCTTTCCGCGTTCAAACAAACAAGCGACGAACACGGGTCAAAGCTAGCTAGCACTTAGAACGGAATCTAGTCGGTACGTGGTTTGCTTTGGCTCTTCTCAAATTGGATAATTATGGAAGCAACTACGTGCTTCTAATCTCTGCGGTGGATGCCTCTATGATTGCCATTTCAGTGAGTGATGATGCATGCTTCGAGAATTTGGCTTTGATATGAATTCTTTTGATTAGTAAAATAATCTTGAGTAGTAGTCTTTGCGTTGCCAAATTTTGAAAGAGCTATGTGCGGTCGACGGTCGTCATATGCTTCGTAATTTTGCTTTTTTAGGTTCTAGTTCCTTTTGTCCTTTAGTTAGTGAATCACCCCGATGTCGGTTAAGATCTTCCCCAACTTTAATTTGGCCTCATTTCCTCAAGAAGCTGATCGAACCGGTCGAATTTCAACCGGAACGGTTTTGGAACAATGTCGGTTCAGTTTGGTTTTCAAATATTTGAAAATGAGATAACGAACCAACTACTCTCAACATAAATATCTCAGAGTCGCAATCTTTCCAGGTGAAAAGAAATTGTGTACTAATATTTTTCTGTATTTTGGTTGTTCAAAATTTAATATTAGTTTACAAGTAGTTGTTGTCTTGGGTAAGGTTTCTCTCGAACTTGGGATATAAGATGAGCGAGATGTTTGAAGGAGTAAGAATGATATTTCTTAGCTAACAATTATCCGACTTTGACATGTCTAGACCTAAACCAAACCAAAACTCACCGAACCGATTGATTCGGGTTCGGTTTGATTCGGTTTGGTTTTGAATCTAAATCGGTTCGGTTTGAACCGACAAAAATAGTCAAAAAATGACACGGGAAAAATGATGTAGTATTCCATATGATGTGGGAATTTCTCTTTTGTCCAGCAAAATGAGTGGAGTATTCCGCATGACATAGGAAAATGATGTAGGTTGAGCTAAGATTGAATCTTTAGGAGACTATAAATTGTCATCATATAACTCATAGTACCCTACATTGTAGAGAAAACGGAGGCTCCAACACCAAAATGGGCGTGCAATCTAAAACCCAGATTCCCAGGGTCAAGTTAGGATCACAGGGTTTAGAGGTCAGTCTTTTATTTAGCTTTACATTACTAACGTCCAAGTCTCACAATCTTCTAATTTCTTCCATTGCTTGCTCTGTAGGTATCCAAACTAGGATTTGGTTGTTTGGGTCTCACTGGTAACTACAACTCTCCGCTCTCAGAAGAAGAAGGTACCTCCATTATCAAGCAGGCATTCTCTAAGGGGATAACTTTCTTCGATACTTCGGACATGTATGGACCTTATACTAGTGAGATGCTACTTAGACAGGTTTGCGCTCCGCAACTATTTCTCTTATTCTGCATAATGAATTTGTTGAACGTAAAGAATTACAATTGTTTGTGAACTAGTACAGGCTTTGAAGGACTTGCCGCGAGAAAAGATTCAACTGGCAACAAAATTTGGAGTCGAAAAAGTTGACAGAGGTGGCATTGTGGTGAATGGAAAGCCTGAGTATGTCAGGGCTTGCTGTGAAGCGAGTCTGAAGCGTCTGGGAGTGGACTACGTTGATCTTTACTATCAACATCGAATCGATCAGAGGACACCAATAGAAGAAACTGTAAGCACAGTCTTTTCTATAGGATCGTTGGACACTATTTATTCTCTATTTTGGTATGATATTGTCCGCTTTGGGCTATAAGCTCTCACGGTTTTGCTCTTGGGGTTTCACCCCGAAAGGCCTCATACCAAATAGACTTGCCCATTCTATATAAACTCTTAAGTTCTCTTCTTGTTTAGAAGATGTGGGACTATGATTGCCCACTCAACAATCCTCGCCTTAAACAAAGTCCCACCGAACCTCCCCTTAAACGATCATCCATCCGTTCTCTCCTACACCGGGAAACACCGGGAAGACCTGTTTCATTTTTCTCTGAAGACCTGTTTCATCGAGTCCATCAACCTCGCGATTTTTTCTCTCTGTCCAGGTCATCTCATTTTCACCGGGAGCACACCACTGCCACCACCGCCTATCCAATAGAGCTCAACCATGATCTCTTTAATCTGGGGCTAACTCCGAGACCTTGGCTCTGATACCAATTATAGGATCGTTGGACACTATTTATTCTCTATTTTGGTATGATATTGTCTGCTTTGGGCAAAGCCCTCACGGTTTTGCTCTTGGGTTTTCACCCCAAAAGGCCTCATACCAAATAGACTTGCCCATTCTATATAAACTCTTAAGTCCTCTTCTTGTTTAGTCGATGTGGGACTATGATTGCCCACTCAACATTTCTGAAGTCACAGTCGCAACATCTAAACTATGAAGTTGTAATTAGTAACTGACGTTTATATCAGAAGTTATAGTTTTGGGGAATATTAATTTTATGTTGTTGCAGTTTTAATACACCTGTAAGCATATACATATTACTTTTGACTGTTTATTGACAGATTAGGGAACTTAAGAAGCTAGTGGAAGAGGGGAAGGTGAAGTACATTGGGCTATCAGAGGCCAGCCCAGATACAATTAGGAGAGCGCATGCTGTGCATCCGATAACTGCAGTTCAAATGGAATGGTCTCTTTGGACTCGTGATATCGAGACGGAGCTTATTCCTCTTTGCAGGTTTATGCCGGGAACCCTGTTTAAGATAGTAAAAACAAATATATGCGCACATTTACCTTTCTTTTTTCACCCTGAATTCTGTTTATCCTGCAGAGAACTTGGAATTGGCATAGTTCCTTACGCTCCCCTTGGCCGTGGATTTTTCGGCGGCAAAGCAGTTACGGAGAGCTTGCCTGCGAATTCTGTATTGGTACCTTAGCTTGCTGACATTTTGAACTTGTTTAGTACTTTTTCATTGTACTGGAAAATTTCAAAAAATTATGATAAAAGTTGAGGATTATAGTTTTATACTCCTAACAGTTGCTCAGTAGAATTAGACTCGCATTATGTCAGGTTGCACATCCAAGGTACAGTGGGGAGAACTTGGAGAAAAACAAGAGTCTTTATAGGAGAATACAGAAGCTGGCTAACAAGCATAATTGTACTGTTGCTCAACTAGCTCTAGCTTGGGTTGTTCATCAAGGGGATGATGTGGTCCCTATACCAGGTTACTTAGCAATTATATTAACTAATTATTATGAAATTTCAGTACTTGAAAATGTTTTTTTTAATTGTTTTGAATTGTCCAGGGACAACCAAGATCAGGAACCTGGACCAAAATATTGGCTCCTTGGACTTGAGGCTCACCAAGGAGGAGTTGAAAGAAATTGAAAGAGCAGTGTCCCCCAAAGAAGTGGCTGGTCCAAGATCCTATGCATTCAGTTCATTCTACAACTGGGAATATGCAAATACCCCTGTTTTTAGCAGTAAAGCCTAGATTTAGGATTACTTCCCGTATTAATTGCTTTGGTTCCAATTGCCAATTACTAATGCTATTTATACACCATTATCTCTTGTATTGAAAGGTATGGAGAGTGCAATCTGGGTGTATGCATATAAAATTCCTATGCATTATAATTACTGTGAAATAAAGAGAGGTGTGTCCATGTTTAATATGAATCGCATACTTTTGATTTTTTTTAAGTGAACATATCAACGTAAAAAGAAAAAAAAAATCAATAGTTCTATCAATCTCCTACCTTTGAGAAATTGGTTTTCAACTAAGCATCTCCAACAGCTTCCCAAATTTTTTTTCAAAATAGGGAAGCAAAAGTTATATTCTCCAAATTATTTTTGCTCCAACTCCAACAGCTTCCCCATTTTAAAGAATCCTACATTTATTACAATAATAAAAATTCATATTCTCCTGCATTTATTACAAATCCTGCATTTATTACTAGCCCTCAAAAACCGAAAATTCCTTCATTTTTTACAAAAAAAAAATTTGCAGAATGCTGCATATTTGGGGAAGACTCCTTATTTTTTCTCCTCCATCCCTATTTTGGGGAATGGGATTGGGAATCTGTTAGACCAAAAAAAGCCCAAAATTCTCCAATAGTGAGAATACCAATAAAATGAGGAAGCTGTTGGAGATGCTCAACAGCTTCCCCATCTTCTTGAAATACTTAATTTTGGGGAATATAGAGCTTTTTTTTTGTCCAACAGATTCCTCATCCCATTCCCCAAAATAGGGAAGGAAGAGAAAAAATAGGGAGTCTTCCCAAATCTGCAGCATTCTCTAAATTTTTGGGGAGAGCTTTATTATTGTAATAAATGCGATTTTTAAAAATGGGGAAACTGTTGGAGTTGGAGCAAAAATAATTTGGAGAATATGACTTTTGTTTCTCTATTTTGGAGAAAATTTTGGGGAGTTGGAGCAAAAATAATTTGGAGAATATGACTTTTGTTTCTCTATTTTGGAGAAAATTTTGGGGAAACTGTTGGAGATGCTCTAAATTTGGAGAATATGACTTTTGTTTCTCTATTTTGGAGAAAATTTTGGGGAAACTGTTGGAGATGCTCTAAGACCCTAACAGTTGACCAACATAGATCGATGTAATATAGTGACATAAAGGAATCCTACACCCTCCTTGTTTGGGAAAAATAATGCTCAGGAGGGTCCTCCGTTGTATAATATTGGAAGCAAAGTGAGTAGCTTTTTTTACTTTAAGTTTAGAGTTGTTGACTCCTAATGTATTATTTGCAATGCTTTTGTGTATATATTTTTAAGCTTGATATATTCCAGAGCGTGTTTGTCTATTCTTTAAAAATGGGTAAGATATGATTCTGAATTAGTTTTTTATTGTTTTGTGATTGGCTAGAACGGGGCCAGAATTGGCTTAGTTTCAAGCCAATAAATGGCTTAAAACGTGTTTTTTTTTTCAAACCATCCCATGTGGAAAAAAACCTAACCAGTTTATGATAAAATTGGCCTATGATCAATACTACCCTAGTTTTAAAGGATTTTGCCAAACTGACCCTAAACATCAAGAAGATGTTAGTTTACATACTAGTTTATACATTCTACAGCTGATAACTTTAAGTAGTTTTGTAATGAAAGCTTTACTACATTTCGCAAAATACAACTTGCTAGCTAGAACTGCACTGATAAATCACAAGCGGAAGAAATGCGAGGCAGAGAAAATTTTATTAGGAACAAGTTATCAAAAGCATTATTAGAAACAAATCTCTTGAAGATCTTCTCAATGACAGATCATAACTCTTGTTCTCACACTGAGTTAAATATCCATCAGTATTTGAATAATAGAGTTACAGACTTATTGCATATCAATACTTTTAGAGCTTGCATTTAACATCACGAGCAAATCCAGCAACAACGACTTCAGGGTATTGAATATTAACTCCTTTTTAGGAGGAAAAACTGGAGGGGGGAAATGATTCTAACAAGGGCGCGTTTGGTTCTATTTTTTTGAAGGGGAAGGGGGGAAGCTGCCAAAGTATCAGAACTTTGGCAGCTTTCTCTCAAAATCGTCTCTTAACAAAATCGCCTCTTTAAGAGGCGATTTTGGGAAAAAGTTGCAAAGTTCCCCCATCAAAAAAACCGAACAAAACAACCCCTAAGATTCTACATTCTTGGTTGCAGAGAAATTCGAGAAATCCGTTTAATTGTAGAATTTATGTATAACTAACAAAATCGGACTAAAATGTGAAAATTATGCAGCCAAGCCCAAAAAAAGAGAGAAACGGAACAAGAGATGTTTTCATTTATAGACGGATAGTATATTTCCTACAGAGTGTATACCGCAAGACCGTAGCCTCTTAATCTCCTCACATTCTCTCCTCCTACATAAGAAACCATTTTTAGACCTTAACAATTTCCTAATTTACACAAGAGGTCCTCCCCTCACATACTCAGTAAAAGCCAAGGCCACCAACCCTAACATCGCAAACCGCCCGTTCCACAACTCCGCATCCGCCGTCATCAAACCCCCCGACTTCGACTGCACGCTCACTCCTTTGAACAGCGGGATCAGCGACGCTGCAAAGAACTGCTGCTGTCGCCACGAACCACGGCAGGCCGCCGTTGGCCAGCTGCGCTGCGAGGTCGTCGCCTCTTGCGAGCTCGACAGCTGCCATGAAGCCGATCATGGCGAGACGGCCGTTAATTCTCTCTGGTGCTGGGCCGCTGAATGCTAGGACGTCTGAGAATTTAGTGCTCACCTGTTGTATTTTATTAGCGTTAGAATAGCAAACTTATATATTTTTCCAGAACGAGTGTAATAGATTATAAAATATTTGTTGTTTAGAAAATAGTGGATAAGAAATAGACGATTTATTTTGCTGAATGGGCTTCTAAGAAATAAGCTGAACAATATTTTTTATTTGGTGGTCGCATCAAAAGGCATGAAACTCGCCTATTCCCATCTTGAGGTAGGTTCTTCTGAACTTAAAATTAAGATGTTTAGAAAATAATGTGTCTTGCTCTTTTGATTTTCTTACATAATTGTGTTGTGTGGGATTTTGTTTTAGTGGGTGATGTGGTGGGTTGAAGACAATGGATGATCATAATTTATAGTGTAGAGATGAAAAAGAGGTTATATAAAGGAAAAATGAAAGAGTAGTTAGTTAATTGGATCTATAACATATGCATTTAATTAAATAAGTTATGGAATCTTTAAAAACCTAGGAACTAATTAAGTCTTACCGAAAAACTAATTAAATCTTATTATTATTGTGATTTGCAATTAATTTAATTTAATTTAAGACTCATTGAAAGAGATTTTGAGATAAATAAAATAATTAAAGTAAAATTAGAAAGATTAAATTTGAGAGGGGTAAAAAGGGCAATCGAAAGTTTTAGCACCTCAATCCTCTTTTATATGTAGTGTGTATATATATATTCTGAAGTTTACTCCATTGCAATGGACATTTAGGTATTTATAGAAAAACTGTCACATAGTTTTTTTTTTGTAATAAAAACATTTTACAATATTTTCAATAAAATTTCAATATATAGTTTATACTTCTTTATTTCTCTTTCTTTTTCTTTTTAACTGACGGAGCACGTTGCTGATGATTTTTTTTTTTATACCTTGGGCTTTGGTGTTGCTGACGTTGGCTCCTCAGCTGGTGTTTGCTTCTCCTGTTCAACATGAGAAAAAAAAAGTTATATAATTTTGAATACAAGACATTAGACAACCTCAAACTTCATTTGTAGGTCAAAATCAGGCTTTTTAATTTTCAGAACATAATTATTCAATCTTAGATCTGTATGAAAACTCTTGCTATAGAAAAAACTCATTGTGACTCCGAGAATAACAAAATTAAACTTTTTGAAGTTAAGCAGGTAATGTATAGTTGTATACTATCATCACTATGAAATAAGCATATATACTAGCACAGTGGCCTTACCTCTGCTTGGCAACGCACGTGCACTGCACGTTTGCACCGCAGAGATTGAGCCGGAATACCAACTGAAGAGTATCTCTTGAAGCCAGAACTGGCCATGGGCCTGACCAAGTAAGATTGCATTAATGTAGCTGAAACTGCCATCGCTTCGAATTTCAAAGCTTATCTAACTCTTTGTTTATCAAATTAAGCTTGAACTTTCCGATATCTTTTTGGTGGATACTGAAGGCCAGAGGCATCAAAATTTATAGACGCCAGCGGTGGCTGGCATGAGGCCACGTCGGCTACATAACTGGGCCAAAAGCGCTCCAAGTCACGTGGAGGGGCTTGTGGTCACAAGAGATGGGCCTACGACGTGGACTACGGTGACGCCGGAGGTTTCTTTCGCCAAAAAGGAGAAGATTCTGGGAAGTGGAGATGTCGTTTAGTGGGCTTTTGGTGTTTATGGACTGCGCCCGGGCCACGTGAATCCAACGCTTTGGAGGTGGGAGACGTGGGTCTCTTTCCTCGGTTGGAGGTGGCATCTAATTTTGTGGGAGGGGTTGCATTATTGACTGTGGACACAAGTGGCCGTGGCTATTGGCTGCGAGGTCGGAGTGTTGGCAACGAAGCAAACTCTAGAAGCTTCATACGCATGGTGAACAGTGGAGATGATTTTTCAAATTCAAATATTGCAATTCCACATCTAGTATTACTAGTATGTAAGACGTGCACTGCACGTTATGCACATTGAGTAATCATATGAGGCTAAAACATTCGAGGGTCAATTTATTTCTCTACACAAATTTGCATATTTGTATAACTAATAGATTTATGTTTTTTTTTCTTTTGTAAATGAGAGGTGAACTCATCCCAGATCTATTTGTTTCCTCCAAAAAAAACAATATAATCTTCTCTCTAAATTATCACATATGAAATCTTGTTGAATGTGACATATATCCATGTTACTATAATCGAGAGATTGACTCCACTATCAAAATTCTCACCTCGTCCATTTTTTTCATTTGATTCTTTTGGTGTTTTCTTTTGTGCATTTGAGCATTCATATATAGTATAATTTTATGCAACTCTTGAGATCTTTATTGAAGTAGATTAATCGTAAAATAATTAGTGTATAATTAATTAGGAAAAATTGATTAATTAGTGCAAGAAGATACATGAATGCACTAATTATGGGCTCATTTCTCACTACTATTCGTATTAAATGCATTATTAGTAAGTTCAGAAGGGCAGATGTCACAAATTACTTTGTTAGTAGGATCTAATTATTGTATTGTAACAGTTTTTTATGGAAAAAATAGTAAAACACATCCAACCTAAACTAAAAATCCAGAAGCATGATAAAAAAATATGGATAAACGTTGTTCCTTGTCAGACCACAGAGTATTGTGTAAAAACGGTGGTGAGCCTTTAAGCCATACCACTAAATCATCAATTTTCTTAACTCAAAATCATCAATTTTCTTAGCTCTTCAGACCAACACATGAGCCATTAAATTCCTCATTTGACGAACTATCTGAAAATCACATTTCTCGAGTCGTGTGCAATATCGTTGAATATATCATCCACAAAGTGTCTAAAATTTGAGTATTGCTCTGCCCTATTTTGGATATCTCTAATTACAACCTCCACATCTTCTTAGAAAATTATCTTTCCACGTATAGTGTCAAGAGCAAATGTAATAGCTTCCCACACCACTTAGAATTTTGCATGCTCAGAATTACCTCGTATCCAAATATTACGATAAATATATTACAATATTTAGTAATATATATTATGATAATTTATATACTAATTCTATATTCCGTACACTAAGAGATTAACATTTATAGTAGTATTCCTCTCCACTAAATTTTTATTATGTCATACAAACATATTAATATATCATAGTATTAGGTAGATGCTAGATTATTAATTTAATATTAAACTATCTTAAATTATAATATATTTTATAAATATAAGTTATGATATTATTATCTTACATATTAATTTTATATTTATAGGTGTACCCAAAGATGTCAAATCTGTCATGCACCCACACTATGCAACAACACGTTTTACCATCACAGTAATATCTCTCTAGTGGAATCAAATACAAGTGCATGTACAAAACATGCAAACTAAGGGAAATAAATGCAATAGACATGATATAGAAAGAGATATCTAATATATATAACCATGTCTCAACTGAATACAACTGAAGTCTGAAATAAATATAAAGTATCTTAATATGAGTCAACTGAAAATAAACTAAGGCACACAGCTTTTACAAGATGAAATACAAAACTCTAAATGTCTAGAGATAAATATCAACTACGGTGGAGTCTCATCTACTAAAAATATGTGACGGTGACTATGCTAGAAGTCCATCATCCTGCGGATCTCCGAAACTCTGAGCTGCTGTCTGAAAGTAATTAAAAAATAAAAAGAGAAACAACAAGAGCGTCAGAGTACTACAGTAATATCATCTTCATCCGCCCCCATGTTTGTGGGAAAATTTGTAGTAAAGAGACAGTGAAAGAAAATGACTTGTATTCTCTCAAAATCAATTACAGTTGAATTCCCTGATTACAAAAGAGAGGAGAACGAATTTGATTCTCCCCTTTGTTTAATTCTGGGTTCTTCACGGTGGCGATGAGATGCCTCCCTCGAATGCTCGCATCGAGTTTGCTTCTCGTTGACGATCCGACGTCTTGTTTCACTAGAACATGATCTTCTCCTCACGATTTGACGTTGTGGAGAACTTGCGTGGCAAGTTTTAGAACTCTTGATGAGTTGATTGATCTTAACCGTAATTGGTTAGACAAGCCGAAGATCTCTTCTTTGCTGCTAAGGAGAGAGATCCAAAAGCCAGCCCAAAGACCTAGCCTCTGTTGCTGCCAAGAAGTTCTAACAGACCGAACCCCTGAACTGAATTGATTTTCAGTTATTTATAGGGGATTAAGGGGTGTAATCACTTCCTTAATTCACTCCTAAGTGGGGCTAATGGGATGTAACCGCCCCTTAAATCACTCCTGAGTGGAGTTGTGATCTCCTCAGATCGTGGGAAACGGTTTTGAAACTGTTCAGCTCGTGTTTGAACGAGTCAAACGTAAAATCCGCGTTCTGGTGTAAATTCTGCGTTCAAACGCAGTGTCTGGAAGCTTGAACGCAGTGTCTGAAAGCTCGGACGCAGCGGCTGGAAGCTGCGTCGGCATCTTGTTGGAAGCTGTGTTTGGCGGCTTGGAAGTTGCGTTTTGTTGGCCTCTTTATTTTGATGATGTTTAACAAACAATTTATCACTAATGTTATTTGTCTAGTGTTTGTACATTCTTATATATTGTAGACAAACAACGTTGTTGGAGGATGGATGGAATCGAGCCTTAACGATCATATCAAATGGAGGTTGGCGGAATTGTGGAGTGAAGCAACGTCAATTCAAGTTAAAGATCAAGTTCAAGCTTCATCCGCATGTGTACCAAGTTGAGCTACAATGAAGATCAAGATCAAGCTTGGGTAATTTAGTATAGGTTTATATTATGTGTGTTTAATACGTTAAGCTCAATATCTATACACACACATTTATTGGTTTCTTCGTATATATATATATATAAGTTTTGTTTTTTATGTATATATATAGTTATATATACATACATGTGTTTTTTGGGTTTTCATGTTTATAATATGAAATCACATATTTCATATTTACTATTGTGTTTTTGAAAACATTACATAGAATATGCAATTTTGTGAAAAGTCTATATAATCATTGTGCAAAGTTTCAAAACATGGTTTAGCCAAAATATCAAAATTCACATGTTTACTTTTTCATGTTTTGGATTATTTTGCAAAATAATGATTTTTCACAAATGGGAAATGCAATTTGGAAAATTCTTTTTGTAACATGTCCATTTACATGTTTATATACATTTCCCAATGTTTCATTATTTTTGGACTTCATTTGTTATTTTTAACAATTTTCCAAAAGTTAAAAATCTGTTTAAAACTGTTTTTCTGAAGTATCAGTATTCGGTCGACCACACCGGTCGATCGCTCATAGTTTCAGTCGGCAGCATGCAGCAGAGAGTTGGTCGGTCGACTGATGCGGTCGACCGAGAGCTCCATCGGTCGACCGCACTGGTCGACCGACGATGGTCCAGAACTGTTTCTTCGTGTTTTTGCTCTCTGTCGGTCGACCGATATTTCCGCCGGTCGACCGCCTATATGAGAACTGTTTCTTCGTGTTTTTGCTCTCTGTCGGTCGACCGATATTTCCGCCGGTCGACCGCCTATATGATCGTTGTTTTCCCAATGGCTATTTCCTGAGCTGTTTGCTGGGGCTATTTTTATCTTTTGTTAGGGGTTTTGACTGAGACTTAGAGTGGGTATAAATACCCTATTGCTGCTCTCTTTCAAGTAATGCTAAGAAGTTTTTAAAACAATGTTTTAAACAAGGGTTTAAGGTTTTTACTGTTTGTTTAAGTTTGGGTTTCTGTTTACAAAGGAGGAAGTTTTTACTGCAGATTGAGGGATTCATTCTCAATCCTCTTCATCCTCTTCTTTGTGTTCATAGAGAAGTTTTCTAACTCTTTTCTCTAGCAATTTCATTATTGATTTTCATATTCTTATTATTGCTAGTTTGCTATTTGAGTTAGATTTGATTTCACTCTTTGTTTACACACACAACCATTGAGCTTATTGTAATTGCATACATTATATAATTGGGTTGTGGGATTGTGTGACATTGAGTTGAGCTTAATTGAGTTCTCACCTTGTTAGAGAGAACAATCATTTGTTATATTATGCTTATTGTGAGGATTCACTTGTAATACACTTGTACACCGAGAGAAGTGTGTGGTGAGAGACGGGGTCGAATCCAAGAGGAGTGGCGTCGGTTGACGTGCATAGGGAGAGGTTGTAACCGAGCACTTGAGGAGGAGGACACGGGCTAGGACCAACACTTAGTGTGTAAGGTGTGATTGCATAGTGATTGTATTGTGAGGTGTAAACGGTGTTCGGGTGAACGTAGAAAACCCGGTTGTGATAGTGGAGATCTCCTCGAGGTGAGGAGCGGAGACGTAGGTCGTGGGGACCGAACTCCATAATCATATTATTTGTTTGTGATTGCATTGGCGCACTTACTTTTATATCTTATATCGCCTTTGTATATTGCTTGTTGATTATATTGCCCACTATCTAGTTTAGATTGTTTACCCTTGAGCTTATATATCCTTGCACATACATTGCCTATA